TTTATAGAAAATACACCCCGAGGGCTAGAACAGAGAACTTGAATCTCCTCTTTATGATACGGGTCAACAATTCCAGGATATATAATGAGTCCCTGTAAAGTTAAGGAGCCACGGCCCAGAATAAGCCCAATGGTGGCAGGGGGCAAAGGTCCAGGGGAATGGACTGGGACCGGTTGAACATTCATTTGGGGCATGAGTAAGAAGTCGGAGGCGGCACGCAAGTCCATTCCGGGGGTTCCTCGGAAGCCTCTACTTCCTCTTGATTGCTTTTCTGAAATTGGTTCCCATATTTCTGAGGGCCCTGGGACCACGGGCCCCGTGACCCGTTTTTTGATTGGGGTACCTTGGGTTCTTCAATAGGGGGCAGAAGCCTCCCTTTACATCCCGGACTGACCTGCATTCGCTAGCCCTATGATAACCTTTACCACAACGATGGCAAAGCTTCGATTCTCTTGTTCTTTCAGGGGCTTGACAATCTTTCTTAAGGTGCCCCATTCTCCCACAATTAAAACAAGCTTTTCGACTAGATAAATCTCTACGCCTGTGCGTTTGTAAAATGGCGGCAGCTAGTCCTGCATTGGTTAGGGGTCCCCCAGCTCCCTGCACACTCTGAGCCAATCTTGTAAACCTTTGCTTTTGCGAGGGGCGATAGCCGCTCGACATTCCTGGGTTGCTTGTTCATAGACAAGTTGCTCAATCAGGGGCATAGCTTGTTCTGAATCACCAAAGATGCGACTGGCGGCCTCTGTCATTCTGGCCACAAAGTCTGAAAATGGCTCTTGGGGTCCTTGGACAATCTTTGTAAGGTGTCCACTGGACTCTCCCCTTTTGTGAGGGCCTTCCATGCTTTAATAGCGGCGGCCGACACCTGACCATAGACACCCCAGATGTAGTTGGTTTGATTAAGGGCATGTTGACCCTGACCTGTCAGCATTTCAAATGTCCACTGCCTCTGATTCTCATCTTCAGCCGTGGCATTAACTCTAGCTTGTGCCTGGGCTGCATCATACCAGAGAGCCTTCCATTCCATGTATTGTCCCATGTTGGGAAGCACTGCTTTCACTGTCGTCTGCCAGTCAGTGGGAGTCATGGCAAAATTAGCAAGCCTTTCCACCTGTAATGTGGTAAAGTTAGCATTGACCCCATAATTACGAACGGATTCGGCCAATTCTTTGATTTGATTGTAATCTACAGGGGTATGTACTCTTCCGCCTTCCGCATTCTCGAATACTGGAAAAGCTACTTGTATTTTTCTCCGTTCCTCTAAAGGTAAAAAGGAGTCAGTACCAGTATTCAGCCGAAGCTCATACTGCGGAGGCGCTGAGGGGCGTGAGCCCGCCGGATTTATAGGTGGTGGCCTCACATTCATTTTTGTTTTCAGTGGCCGGTGTCTATCAGGGTGATATCTTTCTTCCTCATACCGTGCCACCTCCTCCTCTAGACCACCTTCTTCGCTAGAATACAGAGTGTCAGAATCAGAATTATCTAGCTCCAAGGCTTCTAGCTCTACTGTAGGGTATAGACTAGATTCTGGCTTTTTCTTTTTCTTAGATTTGTTAGGGGGTGAATGATCACTCCCTTCTTTCTCTCCCCTTTCTTAACTTCTTGGGAGGGCCTTTTTTCTTAGACATGTCTTTCCTTTTGCGAGCTCCCATTCTCTCACTCCGTTCAGTTTCTGACATGCTATCCTGAACTTCCTCTAAGGTTCCCTGACTTTCTATTATAGCAGGGTGACAGGCCTCATCCTCCAAGCAGTTTTTAACTAGCTTCCAAATGGCTTTGGTACCTAAGTGGAGATCTCCTTCTGCATGCTTCCTGTCTAGTTCTTTACCTAGCTTGTTCCATGAGGCCACAGTGAGGGACCCGGAACAAGCATACCATGGTGCCACTCTATCTACCTCCTTCACAAAATTTTGAAGTGTTCGTGGTGCAATTTTAAGATCTCTTTGTTTTAGCACAGTCTGTAGGGCAGTAACCACTGACTGTGACAACCCCATCGCGCTAGCGGCTTATCTAAAAACGGCGCTCAACTCCGTTACCAGACTGACAGCACCAGACTGACAGCACCAGACTGACAGCACCAGACTGACAGCACCAGACTGACAGCACCGTTCTGTCAGCACCAGCCACGATGAAGGAGAAGGACAAACAGGACTAGCACCAAAGCCTCCACTGACCCGTCCCACGGTGATGACAAACTAAGGCCAAAGTCGAGAAAGGGGGTATTCAGGATAAAGCATACCTCTCTGAACTTACGTCCCTGCAGTTCTGAATCCGCCCCGTCTTCCGAGGGGTCTCCGCGGCGCCGGCGATGTTGAAGAGTTCCCGGGTTTCGGCACCAGATGTCCCGCGCTACCGTCTCGCCAGCAAGAACGACGCAGAACACTCGGATCCTTCTGCAGTAAAGCTTTAATGCATCTTGAGAGATAGATGATCAGCTTCTTAGAGGGAGACCCCAAGCTAAGAAACCCAGCCCCTTATATAAGCCTAGGAGCTCCGAGTGAGACGTGTAGAGCCGGGATTGGTGGTTTGCACATCACCCCAGATGACGCCACGGGAGAGGCACAGCTTAAACGGTTAACTCCAACTGACAGCAGATGTCAGCGCCATCTTCTAACGGCAATAGCGATAGCGAGGGCGCCTCCTCACAGTGATCACTGCTTCACTTCCCACATCTTCTTCTAGATTGTGCCCACATCCACTCCTATCTAACTTAACATGCCTCCATCTTTTCAGAAAACAAAAAAGTAAGTAAACAAACAAGAATTGAATGAAGAAACAGAAAATTAAAAGGAGAAGCACATATAAATTCACCCAAACACAAATACATATGCATACACAAAAATTAATAAAAACACAAAATTAGAAATCATAACATATAAGCAAGCAACTAATATATTAAATAATTCCCAGATTAAAAATTATGAGATAAAAAATCTCTAAAAATAAAATTGAGTTCATTTCAGTTAACCATCTATAGTTGGCTATGAGGTTGGTCCTTAAGTGTGGTTTGTATACCAGTGAAATGCTGTTGGCAAAAACTAAGTTTTCCTTCAGGAGAGGTTTTTCAATTGAAGGTGGCATCTTGGTTAGGGATGAGGGATCATGTTCACTTCACCTCTCAGCACTGGGATCCCATCGGTATAGCACCTGTGCAGGCCATGAGCTTGTTGTCACCATCTCTATGAGTTCATATGTGAGCCAGTCTTATTGTGTCTGGAGGACATTATTTCATTACTGCCACAATCCCCAATGGCTTGTAGAGTCTTTCTACTTCCTCTTCTGTAATATTCTCTAAACCTTGAGGGGAGAAGTTTGATGGGGACATTCCATTTAGGACTGGGTGTTCAGATGAATCCTCAGTGAATGGAGGAGGAATGAGAGGACATGAGTTGTCTATTGCAGGAGATGGTACCATGGGAGCTGTAATGGAGGACAAGAAGGACAGTGAAGATGCCCTAGCTACTTTCCAAGGTTATACGTACACTGAGTTACCAGTTAGACAGTGTTTGTAAATTTTCACAATTGAGACAAAGGAAAGGAAATGGGTTAGAAATGGAGTGAGGTGGTGCTGGGAGGGTCCACAGGAAGGAGGAAAGTTGGGTTTGTTGCAAGGTTTGGCAGACTCTCCAGAGATTCTACCACTGCTGTTCTATCAGTAATTCAGTCTAGATGCTGTGGGAGTGAGTGACATGGATGGTGCCATCCTCAGGATCAAATGACTTTTGAAAGCATTCCTAACAGTAGTTCCTATGTGTATTTGTGACTCTGGAAAGTAAGATACATGCATAAAAACATCATATCTGTATTGTCAACAACATCTCACTGTAATGGAAAGAACATTGTCATTTTGCAACCAAAAGCCCATGAGAGACAGAAAAGGCTGTTACATAGGATACCATAGCTCTCAAGGACAAACGCTGGTCTAAGTATCTGTCTCCAAGTCTTTTACTCAGTGCTGGTAGATGACGCTAGAGGTAGCATTGCTACTGATAAAGAACAACACCCTGGTAGCTTTAACTGACCTACTAGACGTCATGATCAACACTGGATCTTAATTTAATTGTGAAGAACGATAAAGACATATGTACCATTTTTATTCATGTTTCTATGGCTGCAGCTGGATGGTGAGTTAAGATTTTAGGAACATAGAATTCTCAGTGGGCATTTCTGAGACATCTAGGATAAACTCTATTTAATTCAGATTTTCTCTAGTTACTGTGTAAAAAAGAAATCCTGGGTAGTGATGACCTAACAACAATTCTACTTTTTTCTCTATCATGCTTCATAGGGACGATCCAAGGAGAGCAGGTGGAGCAGCATCCTTCCACCCTGAGAGTCCAGGAGGGAGCCAGTGTTGTCATCAACTGCACTTACACAGACAGTGCCTCATCCTACTTCTCTTGGTGTAAGCAAGGACTTGGAGAGGATCCTATGCTCATTATTAACATTCGATCAACTATGGAGAGAAAGCAGGACCGAAGACTGACAGTTTTACATCACAGACACCAAGCCTGGGGACTCTGCCATGGACTTTCTGTGCTGCAAGAGCACACTGCTCCCTAGGCACTTCAGCCTGTCCTAAAACCTGTCACACTGCCTGGAGCCCCACCCACATTCTGTGTCACAGGCCTTCCTGTGCAGCATTTGCCAGTTGTTAGTTTTCAAAGGCCAACTTTAGTATAGACATTAAAGACATAAAAAAGAAAGTTAACTTCAACTCACTCCAAACATTTAAGTGAATTTTCTCCATTTTTAAAAAATTTTCTAAAACTGGAAATACAATTTTGACATTTCCTGTCCATGGTGAAGCACTGTATGTCAGGGAAGGGGAGGCTGTAGCACACTCACCCTCAGGTGGAACATCTCCATCACACACCCTCCTCCCAAGGTCACAGGGGAAGAGGAGCAGAAAGGATGGAAGAACCAGAGGTGGGGGATGAGAACAAGGAGACAGCATTTCCTGAACACAGCAGGACAGCTGCACACATGAACTACCAGTGGTCTACAGCATACAGAAGACTTGTAAATGATCAGGCCAGACACAATTCCAGCAAGCAGAGGGAAGGTAGGTATTCCCACCCTTAGCCAAGCAGTTATGGGCTGTTGGTAGCTTTTGGGAGGATTCATATTCTTTATTGGTGCAGCCCTTGGTGCATAGAATACCCTCCACTGAAGGCCACACATCCAAGAATATACAGGCTGTGAAGACCTTGATGTGTTTATTTTAAAGGAGCAGGGGAACTAGATTGGTAGGGAAGAGTGAATGGATCTGGCAGGAGTTTAGGTGGCAGGTGTATATAATCAAAATTCATTGCATAACATTCCCTAAGAACTAATAAAATGAAAAACATATTAAAATAATATATAATTTTATGTGTATTTATCACACTAAATACCATAGGATATGTACAATTCAGTAACGCTGGTGATTTTAGACATCCACTGTGGACATGAGACCTACCTCCTTTGGGTGAACATCTGTGGTGCCATTTAAAGGGAAACCAGCGGAGGGCGATGACTCTTCAGATGTGGTTAATGTCTCATCAGGTGGTGGCTTCACTGTGCAGATGGAGGTCCTTGTTTATGAGTGAGGAGTTTCAGGAAGGTCCTGAGGAGACTTGTCCTGTGAGTGTGGTGAACTCAAGAACCAAGTGTCATTGTCTTCTGTGAACATGCCTCCTGATGCCTGCCCAGTTCTGCTGCTCCTCTTGATGCTCGGTGAGTTACATTTACCTGAGTGTTGATGACGTCATCTTCTCACAGCTGTGGGAGTCTTTACATTCTTCCTCAGGTAGCAACGTGATTCCTCCACATTTATTTATTCATTATTTATCTTCAGGAAAGGTCAATAGAGATTCAGTAACCCAGAGAGAAGGCCTGGTTACTGTCACAGAGGGTTCACCTGTGACGCTGAACTGCACCTATCAGACTACTGATTCAGCTCCTACAATTTTTTGGTATGTGCAATATCTCAACAAAGCCCCTCAGTTACTTCTGAAGAGCTCCACAGACAACAAGAGGACAGAGGAGCAAGGGCTCCACTCCACTCTCCATAAGAGCAGCAGCTCCTTCCACCTGCAGAAGTCCTCAGTGCAGCTGTCAGACTCTGCCCTGTACTACTGTTCTCTGAGTGACACAGTGAGGGAGATGCAGGGAAAGCTGCACACTAACCAAGGTGCAGGAGGCTGAGGGGAGGGGCCCTGTGAGGGAGAGCTGTGTGCCTCTCTCAGTGGGTTTTATGTATCATTCTGAAAAACAGCAACAAAACTCAGGTCAAATTCTTAGAAACCAAGGAATCTGTTGATTTTCTGACAGGATAGGATGGAAGTCATTGCCAGCAACAACACAGCCTGCTTCCACAGTGACACACTTCCTCCAACATGACCACATCTACTCCAACAAAGCCACAACTCCTAGTTATTGCCACTTGCTATGAGACTATATTGGCCAGCTTCACTCAAATGGACACAATGGCTAATATCTACTTATAAATGTGTACATATGTTGTTTGTGTTTCTTGGTCTGGGTTACCTCACTCAGGATTATCTTTTCTAGTTCCATCTACACCTTCAGCAGCCATCAAATTATGATAGATATAGTGGAGCCTACACTGCTTAGAGCAGGGTATACTGTGCATAACTCCACCTAAGTCAGAAATTTGACTGGCATTGTCTCAAGTAAGTTCCATGTATGTAACCACACATGCTATGAATTTATAGGTTGCTTTTCTCCAGAATGTAGAATTCCACAGCAGACCTTCTCATCCTCTGGATCTTATATTCTTTTTACCTCCTCTTGTTTAATTTTCCTGAGTCTTGACATGGAGCAGGAGGTGTTGATAAAGATGTCCTATTTAAGGTTAGACACTCACAGTTTCTATCTCAGTTCATTGACTAGAAACGAATTTCTGCATTGAATACTGTCTGCTACAAAAACAGGCTTCTTTCACCAAGGCTGACATCATCAATGGTCTGTGGGTATAAATATGACCATTTTATCCTAGTTTGTGTCCCTGTTCTGTGATAAAATACTAAATCAAAAGTCCAATTAGCAATGAAAGGATTTATTCCATTTTCCCCCTGTCTAGTCTATTACTGAGGGAATCTAAGATAGGAATCTAGAGGCAGGGATTAAGGCAGAGAGATCATGGAGAACTAGCACTTATTGCCCTGATTCAGCTTACTTTCTTATATACCCAGTGACCACCTGTCCAAGGGAGTCACGACCTACAAAGGACTGTGGCAGCTCACATAAATCACTAATCAAGAATATGCTCCACAGACATGCCTAGAGGTCAGTATGATTAAGAGGATTACTCAGTTGAGTTTCTTCTTCACAAGTGACTTTACTCATCTCAAGTTGGACACTTGTCAATTTGACACATAACCAGATAACTATTAAACTGTAACTTTTTCTATCTTGTTGACTCCTAGGAACTCACCTTAATATCTCAATATAAAACATCGGAGCACTTAAAATTTTCCACTATTTAAAAAATTCAGACTTTAAAAGTTCCAGGTCCCTCAAAGTATCAAAAGTCTCTTAATGATGGATTCTCATACAATTAAAGAAGTTAAAAAACTTGAAAAAGCATGAAATTGCTACAATCAGATAAAGCTAAAACTCAACTCATTGGAGTGAATAAGACATTGTCTGATGTTTGGAACTCACTCATGATTTTCTGGACTCCAAAGGGCTTTGACATCTCTACTTCTACAGGTTTGCCATCCACAGCACACACAGATTCTCTTGTAGTCTTAAACTGATTCCTCTGTCCTTGGTGGTTGTCCCATGGTCCTCATATTTCAATATGTTTGAGTCCCCAATGTTATTGGTGCTGAACATTCATTAATGGCCTCTCCTAGCTTCTCTCCATGACTCCCCTTATCCTGGAATCTCCACTGAGACTATGTCTACTTTTAAATCATTATCATGCTGTTTTAATCATTATGGTTTTGTTGTATATTTTGAAATCCATAATGGTGATTCCTCCCTCAGCATTCTTGTTATTTAGGTGTGATTTGGTCTTCTTTGGTCCTTTCTTCCTCCTACATTTTTAGAGTATTTTCTTGTATGTCTATGAAAAATAGTCTTGAAATTTTGTTCATGAATCACATGAATCAATTTTGTAAAAAATGGATATTCTACCAAAAAAGCATTATGTGGATACAATGCAACAACAATATAAATTCCTGATATATTCTTAAAGTGGTTTCACTTCCTTCTCTAACATCATTAGTGTTTAAGTATTTGCATTGGACGATTTGATCAATTTTTAATTGTTTTTGTCAGCATGAGAAAGGAATAGTTTTATTCTACTACATACAGATCTCTATTTTGCCAGCTCCATTTACTGAAAGTGTCTATTCACCATTGCATGTGATGTAGTTGTATTGCTTTCTGAGTCCTCAAGTATAATTCCATCTGTCTATGTGTCTATTTCATTAGAGGAAAATTTTGTTGGCTCCCATGATGCTGTTCTGTAATTAATATAAAAAACTGTGGTATCTCCTGCCTTACCATTTCTACTTAGAATTAGCTTTGACTATTCTGACTATTTTGTTATTTCAGTGTTACTATTGCTTTTATATCCCTGTGAATAATACTACTGGTATTTCCACAGTGGTATTATTGAAACTTTAGATTGCTTTCAGTAGCATACCATTTCACACAATTAAAAGCATACAAACAAAATCTCGGTGAGGAGGTTGCAGTGTGGCCCAGTGAGTCACACAGTGTACCCTTCAGTCCATACATCTTTTCTTGCAAGTCTTCCATGCCTCTGGCTTCTCTACACTGTAGATAATGGACCTTCACTTACCCTCTTCTTGGATATCCTACAGATGCCTTGTTTCATGGAGATCCTGCAGCTTTGGATCGGATCTGCAGATCAGGGAGTTCACATGGTCATGCAGTTCATAGATGAAGATTATGTTAGGGAAGGATAACTTAGGACTGGTTCTGGGTGTGGGTAGAGTCTGTGGTTATCCCACAATCTTTCCTCATCTAACCACTCAGGAAAGCTATCCATCACTGCTCCAAATAGTTCACTCAATGTAGCAGGCAGAATGGAGAAAGGCCAATTATTCTGCTCTCATGCACTTGCATCTGACTTAGCACATTTGGACCCTAAGGGCCAACTCTACTGTTTTCCCCAGTAAAGTGACTGACCCACTATACCCATTGCTGCAGCTGGTAAGAGCCTGACCAAAATGTTTTGCTACCATGCCCCAGAGGCCAACTCTCCCACCAGTGGAGGGTGACATATGCTCTGATGGGGCAGCCATCTTTTCCTCACCCTTGCCAACACAAGGTAGAATGAGGATGGACTCAGCTCTTCTGCTCTCACACCCTCAGACCAGCTCACCTGAACTTCTGCTAACAAATTCAGTTCTACTGTGCTGAAAAGGAGCAGGACTCACTCTTGTGAGTGTTACAATTGAGGAATTCCAGGTCCTGTTCTCACTACTGTTGTAGATGGTAAATGGTAGGATTAACTCTGTATTAACCTATCCTGTTGTAGTGGTAGCAGAAACCATTGACATCAATATAACTGAGGCTTGGCAGGGTCACAGGTCCAGACAGAGCCTTTGACAGTAGCTTAGGCCTGGAGGACACCAGAATTCCTGGTGGCATCACTGCTTACTCAGATCTGTATGACCTCAGCAGAAGCATAGTCCTTGGATATGAACATGGTCCTAGGTGATGGCCCAGACCCATACCTACATCTTTGTGGTCCTAAGTGGATACACAGATTGTGAACATGAACATAGATCCCAGCTGTCTTTGCAACATGGACCCACACAAGATCCTAGGCTGCAGCCCAGGTTTGGATGTCTCATGGCCATTGATGGCAGCGCAGGTCACTCAGATATGTGAGGTTCTAACAGCACCATGTTCCCAGTGGTGGCCCAGATTCCAGTCTTCTACAATGTCTTTGATGGCAACAGGGTCTGAGGTAACAACCAATAACAAGGATGTAGTATTGCTATGAATTCACACTTGGCCTTCAGCAACAGTACCTGCCCTGACACCAACATGGCCCTGGGTGGCAGTACAAGCTTCTAAGACACACATGACCCCTATGGAGGCATGTCCCTTTAACACCAACACGGTCAAAGGTGTGATCCTGACTGCAGGTTGCTGCAAGGCCCTCACTAGTAAAAGGAATAAAGTATATCAACAGGGATACCCACAGCTGTGTCAGGGCCATATACAACACAAGGTCCTTGGCAGTAACCAAACCTGGAAAATCGTCATGTCCCCAGGCAGCAAGAAGGCCATGGATTTATTTCGTACTCCCTTAGTAAATGTTCTCATTTCCTGAGTGGCTTTATAGTCACACTCGTGTGTTTCTCATTAATTGGTTGCACATGATATTTCAAGTGATGTATATACAGAATGCTATGTTATAGAGTTAGCTAAATAATGACTATAAGGCACAGTATGGATACTTTTTCAATCATGCAATGGATATCCAGAAAGTTGGCAACACCATCCACATTCAAAGACTTGGATAGCCCTCGCTGACTGGGAACTTGCTGTGTACAAGAACTGGGCACACAAGAGTTCTGGGGTTACAGGAGGTTTGGAGCTACTATACAGAGAGAGAAAACATTTCACCAATTAATTGATTCCAAGTGACGAGTGCTGCAAATAAGTTTATGTTCATAAAAATAAGGTCAGTTTACTAAATACAGAATAAAAGGAACAGTCAATATAAACAGTGAGTAGAATTAGCAAATTACAAAAACAACAATAACAAAAAATGAAGAACAAATAAATGGAAAAATTGAAAACCAAAACAAATAAACCCCAACCGAAAAACAAAATAAACTAAGCTAAACAACAGTCTCTTGGTACAGATTTAGCAACACAGACCTACAGCCTGTGCTGGCCTTGGAATCATGGTAGGAAATCAGTCACCAGATGGAAAAAAATTTGAAAGCTAGTATAGCCATGTATACCCTCCATGGTGTTGTACTACACAATCTGTTGAAAGCCAGGGTTCCCAGGAATTATTCTCTCAGGTCTTCTGCATATCAAGATCCTTTTTGATGGTTTCATTTCCATGGGAGTATTGAGTCAACAGACCAATGAGTCTTCTTGGGGCTGGATCACCTGCAGTTCAGCTGGTATTTGGCTCACTGGTGAATTTACAGCTATAAGAGGATGTCTTCTTCTGAGCCGGCCTTGATTTGAGGACATAGAATGTCTGTGGCTTCCTTGGCCTTCTCGGTTATCTAAAAATATGCTATTGAGGAGGAAAGACAATCAGACTCACAACCAGCCTAGTTTCTCCACAGGTTATGAAAAATGAGGGCATATTCACACTGGAAGCCAAGAACAAGTCCCCTATTCCCCCCAGCAATGCTATGTTTGCTGTGGATGGGAGGTAATGGTGGCTCACTTGCCTGTGAGAATCAGTGTTCCTGCTGTAACAGCTCTTTCTGCAGGAGGCTCTCTTCCTGAGCTGAGACTGGTTCCAACTCACACTGGAGATTTCCTGACCTAGAGCAGGAAAGCAGTTACAGAACAGGCCTGGTGTGGACTTGCCCTGTCAGCTATTCAGTCTGAACCAGCCATGTTCAGCTGGACACCCAGCATGATATTTCAGCTGAGGGCATTCCCTGCTTTCCCCAAGGGAGAAGGGTCAGAATGTACCTGGGCCTGAATATTTTTTCAGCTTTTTAAAATCTGCTAGAAAATGAAGTGCTAACTACACTGTGCTGAGCATGAAAACACAGTCCATATCTCCAGTTGTCTAGATACATTATGTTAGAAAGAAAATATCAGAGTAGCAAAGTATGAGTATAGTTCAGGCTAGACATGAATGACCTTGATTAGACAATAGGAGAATGTGAGCACCCTCAGAAACTTAATGTAGAATTTTTAGGGAGCCTATAAAATGAAAGCACTTAAGTTTATAATTATTTTTACAACAAAGAAATGAGTCAGGGTTCAACTCCCAACCCATATCTGTTCTTATAACAAGAAAAATCCTTTCACAGGAAAGGGATGCATACTGTAAGAGAGCCTGTAGTTAGCAGGAGTGAGCTGCATGCAGATCTGCCCAAAGGAAGGAAACTATCTCTAAAGGTGATGTTATAGGAGGAAAATAAATTGACAGGAACACACACTGTCCTCTACATCTAACACTCCTTAGACAGGTTCAGGATGATAATAGTGAGAGTTTTGGGGACACACAGGGGACAAGGTTCTGAGAAGATACCAGAGCGATCAAAAGAAAATAGGGGGTAAACTATCCCTAGAAACTTTAAGGCTCAAACACAGTATTTCTTGGAGAAGTTCCTGTAGACTGGGCCAGCACAATACCCTAAGGTGTTCTTCCCTCTCTGGGGCTGAGAGCCAAGCAGATAGATGACAGAGATCCAGGTTTAGGTGACCTACATGGTTCTAAGGACTCCTTCTGACTTGGGCTCTAACATCTTCTCTAAGACACTGAAAGGATGCTCCATCTTTTCTGCCAAATCCCTGTGCTGGGTGATCAGGTGTTTCTGCTTCATCAGGTTCTTTGGTCTTTCATCCAGGCTTTCTTCTTCCTGTTCATTAGAAGTTTTTGTTCTCAGTGGAGGGTTGCTCCTCTATAAGCATACACATAAACTCATGAACACACACAAGAACAACTAGGCACACATACAAGCACACTGTAATGCAGTCACATGTTCGGTTTACCATTTAATGCTGATGTAAGGAGCAATTATCAGGTATACTATTGAGAAGAAGGTAAACTTTTGTTGGATGACACAGTGGGCATGAGAGATAGACAGTGCAGTCATTGAAATGTCTAGCCGGTAAACCTAATGCACAGACAGGTGGACATCTGGGTTCCTGACCTGTTAGTCAACCCTGCTTAGGATGTTCCCAGAATGTGCAGTGTAGGGATGTTCCCCATCACAAGAGCACTGGATGGTGGTGGATCAGGCCACTCATCTTATTCACTGCATTCCACTTTCCACCAAGGTGAGCAACTTCCTCCAAGAGGAGCAGCTTTCAGCACAGACTGCCTCACTTCAGGTCCAAAAGAAATGACCTAAGCATTCTAGAAAATCTCTACAACCAGGAGTGAAAAATAACATTTTTCCCTGTAAGGTGATTGATGAGAGATGTCATTCTATAAATCTGTCTGTTATTCTTTGTTGAATAGAGCACTGTTGGCCAATAGGTAAGCAAGACAAGATAGCTGGGAATAGGAGTGCAAGAGGATTCTGGAAAAGAGAGGCAGAGATGTACGCCACCAGAGTAAGAGGTCTGGACCAATTTCTCTGCTAAAAAAATACTTAGAATGTCAATTATGGGTTAAATACTTAAGTCAGTGCTAGCCAGTAAGAAACAAGCAAACGGCCAACAGTTTCATAATTAATATAGTGTCTTGTGTGTTACTTGGGGACTGAAATTGTACGAGGGCCCAGGCAGATGCAGAAGGCAACACATTACATAATGGTACCAGAAGTGGATAACAGAACCCAGGCAGGAATCCCACAACAGGTGATTGTGTCAGGGATTTGTGTGAGGTTGACTAAATCAGAGACAAACAATTGCATGTCACCTGCAGTACTTTTCTGGAATGTGGCACTTTGCACAATCATGAGAGGGAATCTGTTTTAAGACACAACCACGACCATGACACAGTCAGTACCACAATGTCTGCAAGGAGATGCACTATGAGATTCTGTGTTGTGAAGCCAATGAGATCAAACCGGACACTTCCTGTGCTGTTAGGTCTGTGCAGTGAAAGAACATAAGTCTATTCCTTTTTTAATTGCTGTATTGTTTGATTTTTGTTATCTATTATAAAATACATTAATTACAAAACAATAAATATGAGTAAAATGAAGACACAGGTACTACATCTTTCCTCTATCTTTTCTGTTGAAACTTAGAGCAGTTAGAGGACAGAAAACAAGAGAGATGATCCAACTTGTAGGTCACAAGAGATCCAAAGATTACTGTAAAGCCAGATTAACCAAAATAGCAGATTTCAGGTTCCCTGAGAGACCTGGGCTCAAGGGAATAAGGGAAAGAGGAGCACAGCATCATAGGTCATTATCTGGCCTGGAAAAACACACACACACATTGCACGCATCTACACATGCATGCAAACATCACACCAAGACTACATAAACAATAATGGAGCAGAAAGAAATGAGGAGGTCATCATGCTTAATGAACAACTGAATTTAGCCTATGCACATCAGGTGTTTCAGTGAGACCCACAGCACTGCCATCCATCCCTAGGGGAGCAGTAATTCCCGGGGGAGCACATAGCTTCGGCAAACTATTGTGAAATGATTGGAGACAGTGTTCTCTTTAAGCCTCAAATCTGTCACCCCAACATTCAGCCAGTCAAATTTTCCCACCTTTATGGTCATCCAGTTAGCTCCAGACTGGAAGCTCCAGGAAGTGAGAAATATCCAGCACCACCCACAGAAAACAGGGTGGAAAAGATGGTACTCTGACATTTGTCAGTGTGAACCAAGAGTTGAGCAAAGGGAAGAGAACACATTGGGATGTAGGAAAAAAGAAGTAGATCACACCCCAAAGTTGACAGTGAGAACCATTCATTTGGCATTGACACTAGGATCCAGTTCTTCCAAACTGCTTCCTACCTGTGATCTTAGGTAACAACTGCAAAGCAAATGAGGCACAGGCCCTGACCTCATCCATGAAGTCCCTGGGCTGTTCCCTACCTAGCTCCCTGCATAGAGACCCTGCTTATACAATGACATGTGATATGTGACTGACTGTACTAAGAGTTCCATCAGAGCAGGAGAATTTCCTTGCCAATCAATTTCTTGCAAGATTATATCTCTCCAGAGAGACTTGTGAATGATCACAGAAATGAACAATTGCATGGTATTTGGTAGATGTCAAATTGAGTAGGTGCATTGATTCATGAGAGACTCTTTTATGGTTGGACAGATGTGCTGTGTGCCCCAGTGACTCAGCCTACCTGATGCTGCTCAGCACAGGGGTCACAGATCTTCTCCTGGACCTCCTTAAGGAGCTTCTTCACAGGTCTCTTGCAGTGCAATCTGCTCCTCCAACAGCTTTTCATTCTCCAGTTTCAACGCATGGACATTGTTTTTCAACTGAGTCAAATCTGGTAGGCCAATTCTGTGGAGGAAACTGAACCAACATCCAAAAAATGGTAAGTCCCAAATAGGCTCCATTTGCCATCCCAAACTCCAAGTATTACCACCCCTTAAAAGTCCCGGGTTCCGAGACAGAGCTGACAGTAGTAGAGCCAGCATCACTTGGGAGAAGGTCAAATCAAGAAAACAACCAAATTCCAGAAAATTTAAAGTACTTCTGAAAACCCTGGCACCAAGAGCTTTACTGCATCCCTGAGAACAGCATGAAGCCCACATCTTTGTTTACCTGTTCATAGTATTCGGAAAGCATACCAGATAGAGGGCTAATTCTCTCTTGGGGAGGGCAAAAATCCCAACCAGAATAAATTCTGTCTGTCGGTTACATGGTATCAACACTGTGAATCCCCTGTCAGAGCCTGAGAGTCCCTGGGCATCCTGACACCCCCTTCATGGTGTAAAACATATTTTATGTAGAGGCTCCTATGTAGGACATTTCTGGGAGGGACTCAGTGTCTTTTCACACTTAGTAAAAACAGTCCAAGAGGCACAGGTCCAAGGGCAACAAGGCGACAGATGCTATGAGGCAGACAGGCTAGAACCAGAGCCTCCACTTTGAGTCAAAGACAGAGAGAGCAGAATCAGCCATTCATAAACTTAATCTGGCACTTACCTGTAGCATTTGTTGTTCTCCTCAATCAGCTGCTTGCACTTGTTCAAGTTATCACTGATCTCCAAGGGAAATCTCTGAAGGTCACACATTACCTGCTTATGCACCTTTTTCATCATCTCAAAAGATTTCAGCCTGGGATAGGGCATGGCCCCAGGAGAAAAGAATCCCATGAACCTCATGGATCATATGAAATCAGGCTGTCCTGGACTACCTCAGCCTAGTGGACTCCACAGACTGGCACTGATTCACTGGGGCCTCCTAGTGCTTAATATATTTTCTATCCTCTCCCCAGGCTAGAAGAGGCAGGGTGTCTGAAGGGAGTTATCGAGGCCCATATGGGCACCCTTTGTGTGCTTGTTCTATAGATTAGCTCTCTACGATGTTCCCTGGAATCTCTACCACATATCTTTGCTCAACAGAGACATCTGATGACATTTCTCCTGTCTTTAGAAGAGGGATTCTCATTCCTGTGTGCCTATTGCTACACAGAGGAACAGAGCACACTATCAGTATTTCCAGGAAGGAGTCCCAAATTCAGGGTAGTTTTATAAACTCTACAGGGGATTGCAATGTTCCACCAATGTGAGCACAGTGGCCAAGAGATATGCGGATCAAAGTGGCCACAACACATGCGTTCCATGGAAACTGTGAGAATGGCAAAACCTTAGATCATGCAGAAAACACACACTTACACACACACACACACGTCCACACATACACACATACACACACACACACACATTCACAGGCCTTCTACTCTGCTCCCACATACAATCAGGATGTCCATGAAATGCAGGGTGGAGTCACTTTCTTATAATATAAAGAAGAAACCAGAGTGTAGCAGTGATGAGCTTCAGGCCTTCCAGCCACAAACTGAGATTAATGAATGTTACCAGCCCCATCCTGGTGCTGCCAGGAGCTTTTAGCACTCATTTGCCTTCTCGTCAAGCACAAAGGCTCTCCTAGTGTGTCCCTCAAGCCAGCACCAGTCAAGGCCTCTTTCAATGAATGTTGAACAAACACATTGCTGTCCCGATCTCCAGACTGTGATTCAAGTCATGGGCTCTGCTTTTCATTTGGAGAAAACAGAGGATCCTGGGCCCACATCTCATGACTACCCAGGTTCCAAGTTCTGCCTCTCATGTGCTCAGGAAAATTAGTTTATGCACCAGGACACCCTGAATCATTAGCCTCTTGAACTCAGCAAATCTTGACTTGACACTGTGGGGTCAGAGAACTGAGAGTAATGACTACCTGTTATAAAAATCTATCTTGGTATAGCTTTCCAGGATTGCACTCAGCTCAATTTGCTCATTTTTTATACTCTGTAGCTTAATGGTAAGTTCCTCCAGCTTCTCCATCTGCTTGTCCTGCTTTGTGAAAGTAGAGAGTTGGGATGGTGCCTCCTCAGTAGTCCCTGCAGGCAGATAAATACAAGTGAACTGGAATACTTGAATGGCATAGGGCCAGGAGTGTCTATGCTGAGTACCAAGAAGAAGCCCAAAGAAGAGTAAATGCTAGGGACCCAGTGAACTCCAAAGAGGACAGGGCAGCTATGCTCACACTGGTGTCCATGAGGTAAGTCTCTCACTTCAAACACCATGACTAGTCATGTGCCTCATTCAGAGACTTAGTCCCCTGTTCCTGGAAGACAAAAAGCTAGTCCAGCTGTGTAGATTTGAAGAGTGTCATCTCTTTTCTAATATGATGCAGGTAAGTGCTGTTGTCCCTAGAGCTAGCAGCATCAAGTTCTCATCACATTTGTACAGAACAAACTCACCTGAGGTATTGGTGCATGGCCAGGGGAGTTTCCCTCCCTCCTTATTAGCATCAATTCCCATGGAAACTGAAGGAATTCAATAGGATGAATGCACACACCACAGCCTGAGAGAGATGCCTTATTAGTCACCCCTTTGCTTCTGCTGGCCTTCTTTCTCACTCAAAAGTCGGTGAGGATTCTTCCTCTCTCTCAAAAGTAGAGTAAGGATCACCCAGAAAAGCAGCAGCAGGTTTGACAGTTCATGTCTCTATCACACTAACTATCAGAAATATTTACAGTGGGCCTGCTCTGAGGAAAACCAGATAAAAGCAGGTTAAGCCCATTCCTTCCAAGATGCTAAGCCCCACAACTGTAAGGCCTAGCTCAAGCTCCACCTGCTCCAGGAAGCTACCCATCTCCTGACCAGGACTCACTATACTTTTCCCAGAACCATTTATTTCTTCATGTTTTACACTGAGACCAAAGGTCAGCTTCCTTCTGCCTCTCTGGACTTCCCATGTTCTCAATTATCTCCGCTCAGGCTTGCAAACATGTCTAAAGACACTTTAAGCATATCCCACAGTCACTTGGTGTTCCCTGAATACTGGTGATATCACAGGGAACACCAAGTGCTCTCCACAATACAATAGAATTGTCCAGAGAAGGGACAGTTAGTGTCAGCCAGAACTCCTCACCTACCTAATAACTAGATTCTGCAATTCACTGGAAGTAATACTGCCCTACCCAGGAACTTCCATAGATACATAATGGAAGACCTTCACTATGTCCTCATTATAAAGCCAGAGGCCTCTCTCTGTGCTTCATAAGAATATATTCACAACTTCATATATGCAAGTTGAAGACTCACTTCCAAAAACATCCCAGGATATGTTTCAGCCCCTTGTAGAGATCTCTAATCAATAACAAGAGAAATAAATATTTCTAGGTTAATAATTCGGGAATGTGGACAGGAGATTTCAGTCCCCTAAAGATGACAAGCACAATGCAGAGAATCCACATGGCTGGTACAATATATTGTTGTGGCGGGGACTGTAGTTGTCCTGTGAGAACAAGATAAATTCCATAATTGATGACAATTACCCCCAAAGTTAAGCAGAACACATTCCAACCCTCATAAGTTATCAAATATGTGACCAACTTGTGACAGGCCAGGCTAGAGACACTAATCACTGGGGCTCCCAGGTGAGCCCAAAACACAAGAGCTAAAACTCCCATGGAGATTGATGTCCATTCCTGCACTCAAATTTGAGGAAAGGTGATTGGCTATTGAGAGTCCATAGAGAGATATGCAAAGGCATTTTCAGAAAATTGAATTTGTCGTAGTCATGGATCATATAGAGTGTGTCACTGCCATAGTTCTTTACCTAGAGATTCTAAAGCTTCCCAAAAGACAAATTCCTTGATCAGGAATCACCTGGTACAATGTCCATGTCCTCAGGAATTGGGACACAGCCAGCTTAAATTACAATATTCACTGGAGCATGAGGAGGTTAGGATAAACGCACAAAAGGAGAGTCCTTTGTGCTAGACCTTTTGCAGAGCCCAACTTTACACTTTTGAATTTCCTGGCAGTGCTGAAATGAAGGGTTAGCACCATGCTCTGCCTGGATAGAAAAGTCTCCAGAGGTCAGGATAGGGCTTGCAACATGTGCTTGATGAACCACAAAGCAAATGAGTAATGTTGGGTAAAATAAATCCATTCCTATATTACATCACACTGACAACCATGTTAGACAAGGTTAGGTATCTCAGTAATACCCAATTCTAGAAGTCAAATGACAGCACCTTCCCTACACACTACCTCAACTCAGGCCAATCTGACACAATGAAGGATGCTCAGGAAGTGACTGATAGATGACACTGTACCCTAGCAGGTTCTGAAAGACCAGAATTGTGTCTTCACCTCTGTGGATGCCAGTTATTTCTATAGGGAGGGAGTGTCTCAACAGTTACCTGCTTTCTTCTGTATCCCTGTACCAGGTGACCCAGGGGACAGACTCCTAAATCTTATTCACAGCCACAGAGAATGTACCTTGGGTTTAGAGCCTTCAGTCATGTGCTTTAAGAAGCCTGGAGCTAATTGGTATGGTCACATTCCCTCAGGTAGAATAGGGAAGACCTCATAAATTACTTGATGCTTCAGACTCTCATGTTAATGGAGAAGCTACACAGTGGCAGAACATAGTCCCCTGACTCAGAACCCATCCTTACAATTAGCCCAGGAAACCCAGAGCTTGAAGTAAGAGGCAGTCTCTTACCTTGTTCATGGGCTCTAATAGTTCTCAGCTGAACTGGAGACCTTTGTGCCACCATACCTGGAAAGATGGAAACCTTAGGGGTCACTGGAAGACAGCTGCACTTTGTAGCTGAGCCCTGCTAGTGGCAGTGATGTAAAGCATAACAAACTCAACCTTTGCCAAGGCTCACTTCTTTCCCTTTAATCATTGCCTGTCAACCTATCGGGCTCCAGTGTAGGCAAAGTACAGCGAAGGTATTGAAATCTCATTGACTCCCCTGTGCCTCATTCTCCCCTCACCATGAAAACAGAGGATTCCCAGCACTAACACTAGAGTCTTGTCAATTCCTGACTCTGTCTAAACAATTTTCATGAATCCTTGATGTGGGTGAATCCTTTAGGAAACCAGAGAAGCAGGATAGGTCTGTTGCTCCCCAGAAGCTCCCAGTTCCTGAGCCTTATCCCTGGAAGGCTCAAGGCCGTCACACACAGAGTGCCCACAGTCCCTTCCTTGAACTCACGGTGTCTTCTCCAGAACCATGTTTTCCAGTGAGACCTAGGGCCTGCTTCCTTCTTCCTCACTCTGGTCTCTCCATGTTGTCCATTCCTCCTCCCAAATATACTTCGCAGTCTTGAAAACATTTCTATAAGTGACCTTACAGGCAATGAACAACTGTCCTAAGGGCAGCCAGTGTTGCTACAACACAAGTGACATCATGGGATTCCAAGAGATCTCCAGGACACAATAGAATTTCCAGATGGGACTGCTGATGTCACAGGGCACAGCCTTTCACTCCTTGCTCATTCATTCTCCCTGAACAGACCAAAGCTGGGGTTTCCTTTCCAGGAGTCTCTCCTGTGACACAGGGGTGGCTTTTCAGCACCTCCTTCTTCCAAAGTTAGAGATTTCTCTTTTCTTTTTCAGAATGTTTTCAGTACTTCAGCCATGCAGAGTTGAACCCTAATTTTGCAAGCACTGCCCAAGAATAGTCCTTAATACCCATACACAGAAATATGAGGGAAAATGCATGCCAAGAAATTCGGTGAGGAAATGGAGGAGGAGAAAGCAACTGAAGAAGTCTAAGTTTAAGGAAAGTTGGCAATTGGACATTTGTAAGTGAGCTGAGTCTATTATGAGACACTCACTACTCTAGACTGTTCTCCCTACAAGGCTGATAGGTTAGTCAGGGATGTCTAGATTTACAGAAGTTATAAAATGAATTTCTCTTTAGGAAGGGGATTTGTTTTTTAAACTTTTTTATTACTTTAATTTTAAATAGCTTGCTTCACATGTCAAACCCAGTTCCCTCTCCCGCCCATCCTCCCACACTCCCCCACAATCCCCCCTCTCCTTAGTTGTAGTTCTTTGTCCAGAGAGTAGCCATAATGAGCAACACTATAGGTGATGCATATCAAAGGGATACAAATAGGAAAAATATATCAAATTATTATCAAGTGATGTCATAGTACATATAAGACATCCCAAAAGTTCTACCAGATATTTTCTTCAAATTATCAATGAGTTCAACAACATGGAGGATAGGAAATCTGCTTTCAACCATCAGGAGCCTCTGTATGCAGCACCAACAAAAACGCTGAGAAAGATCATCCACAAATGCCCATCGCCCAGAGTATACAGAAACCAATCATGTAGAAAGACTCCATAACTGTGAGATGCACTGGTTTGTTGATGAATAAATCTTCAGTAGGTATTTCAGGGCCAGGAGTTTCCTAAGTGCTTCAAAATTTTTGCCAAGTGTTGTCAAAAGAAAGAACTTTCAGTGCATGATATGGGAGGGACAGGTTTAGTTTCTAGAGCAATCTAGGCCCCATTTTTGGCAACAGTTGTGGCTGATCTCTGAGGGGTGTGGCTGAGAAAGAGTTAGAGGAGTATAGACAGAAGGGAATGCAAAAGTAAACTTCATGAGATGTCAACTTCTTGTTCCCAGAAGACACCTTGAGTTGAACTGGTGGGAAGGCAAGGGGTCAGGTACCTGAACAGGACTCACAGTGGAGAGAAGACACATAAGCCTAATAAAGCTCCATAGCCAATGACCAATTAGCTGATTAGCCGTGAGTACCGGCCCATTCCAGTGAATAAAGCTTATGCTTTTGCTTTTACCACAGCTCTATCTTGTCTTTCTAGGATGTTGTCTTCTCTGTTTGTTTCAGGAATGGAACATAATGCTCCCTAGGTGATCACTAGCTTCCTTGCCATGGATGTTTGTTACTGGTGTATGGAGAATTGCAAGCACTTTTATTGTCACCTTGCTGAGGATCCATCTTAGCCCCAAAATAATGGCTATCATAAAGAAAACAAAAGGCAGTGATGTTTGTAGACATGGTGAGAAGTGAACTCTTGGAGGTAGTTGATCAGAATATAAATTTGTGAAACCATTACATAAATCTGTGAGGAGCCGCCCTCGCTATCGCTATCGCCATTAGAAGATGGCGCTGACATCCGCTGTCAGTTGGAGTTCACCGTTTAAGCTGTGCCTATCCCGTGGCGTCATCTGGGGTGATGAGCAAACCACCAATCTCGGCTCTACACATCTCACTCGGAGCTCCTAGGCTTATATAAGGTGCTGGGTTTCTTAGCTTGGGGTCTCCCTCTCAGAAGCTGATCATCTATCTCTCAAGATGTATAAAAGCTTTACTGCAGAAGGATCCGAGTGTCCTGCGTCGTTCTTGCTGGCGAGACGGTAGCGCGGGACATCTGGTGCCGAAACCCGGGAACTCTTCAACATCGCCGGCGCTGCGGAGACCCCTCGGAAGACGGGGCGGATTCAGAACTGCAGGGACATAAGTTCAGAGAGGTATGCTTTATCCTGAACACCCCTTTTCTCGACTTTGGCCTTAGTTTGTCATCACCGTGGGACGGGTCAGTGGAGGCTTTGGTGCTAGTCCTGTTTGTCCTTCTTCTTCATCGTGGCTGGTGCTGACAGAACGGTGCTGTCAGTCTGGTAAAGGAGTCGAGCGCCGTTTTTAGATAAGCCGCCAGCGCGATGGGGTTGTCACAGTCAGTGGTTACTGCCCTACAGACTGTGCTAAAACAAAGAGATCTCAAAATTGCACCACGAACACTTCAAAATTTTGTGAAGGAGGTAGATAGAGTGGCACCATGGTATGCTTGTTCCGGGTCCCTCACTGTGGCCTCATGGAACAAGCTAGGTAAAGAACTAGACAGGAAGCATGCAGAAGGAGATCTCCGCTTAGGTACCAAAGCCATTTGGAAGCTAGTTAAAAACTGCTTGGAGGATGAGGCCTGTCACCCTGCTATAGTAGAAAGTCAGGGAACCTTAGAGGAAGTTCAGGATAGCATGTCAGAAACTGAACGGAGTGAGAGAATGGGAGCTCGCAAAAGGAAAGACATGTCTAAGAAAAAAGGCCCTCCCAAGAAGTTAAGAAAGGGGAGAGAAAGAAGGGAGTGATCATTCACCCCCTAACAAATCTAAGAAAAAGAAAAAGCCAGAATCTAGCCTATACCCTACGGTAGAGCTAGAAGCCTTGGAGCTAGATAATTCCGATTCTGACACTCTGGATTCTAGCGAAGAAGGTGGTCTAGAGGAGGAGGTGGCACGGTATGAGGAAGAAAGATATCACCCTGATAGACACCGGCCGCTGAAAACAAAAATGAATGTGAGGCCACCGCCTATAAATCCGGCGGGCTCACGCCCCTCGGCGCCTCCGCAGTATGAGCTTCGGCTGAATACTGGTACTGACTCCTTTTTACCTTTAGAGGAACGGAGAAAAATACAAATGGCTTTTCCAGTATTCGAGAATGCGGAAGGCGGAAGAGTACATACCCCCGTAGATTACAATCAAATCAAAGAATTGGCCGAATCCGTTCGTAATTATGGGGTCAATGCTAACTTTACCACAATACAGGTGGAAAGGCTTGCTAATTTTGCCATGACTCCCACTGACTGGCAGACGACAGTGAAAGCAGTGCTTCCCAACATGGGACAATACATGGAATGGAAGGCTCTCTGGTATGATGCAGCCCAGGCGCAAGCTAGAGTTAATGCCACGGCTGAAGATGAGAATCAGAGGCAGTGGACATTTGAAATGCTGACAGGTCAGGGTCAACATGCCCTTAATCAAACCAACTACATCTGGGGCGTCTATGGTCAGGTGTCGGCCGCCGCTATTAAAGCATGGAAGGCCCTCACAAAAAGGGAGAATCCAGTGGACACCTTACAAAGATTGTCCAAGGACCCCAAGAGCCATTTTCAGACTTTGTGGCCAGAATGACCGAGGCCGCCGGTCGCATCTTTGGTGATTCAGAACAAGCTATGCCCCTGATTGAGCAACTTGTCTATGAACAAGCAACCCAGGAATGTCGAGCGGCTATCGCCCCTCGCAAAAGCAAAGGTTTACAAGATTGGCTCAGAGTGTGCAGGGAGCTGGGGGACCCCTAACCAATGCAGGACTAGCTGCCGCCATTTTACAAACGCACAGGCGTAGAGATTTATCTAGTCGAAAAGCTTGTTTTAATTGTGGGAAAATGGGGCACCTTAAGAAAGATTGTCAAGCCCCTGAAAGAACAAGAGAACTGGAGCTTTGCCGTCGTTGTGGTAAAGGTTATCATAGGGCTAGTGAATGCAGGTCAGTCCGGGATATGAAAGGGAGGCTTCTGCCCCCTATTGAAGAACCCAAGGTACCCCAATCAAAAAACGGGTCACGGGGCCCATGGTCCCAGGGCCCTCAGAAATATGGGAACCGATTTCAGAAAAGCAATCAAGAGGAAGTAGAGGCTTCCGAGGAACCCCCGGAATGGACTTGCGTGCCGCCTCCGACTTCTTACTCATGCCCCAAATGAATGTTCAACCGGTCCCAGTCCATTCCCCTGGACCTTTGCCCCCTGCCACCATTGGGCTTATTCTGGGCCGTGGCTCCTTAACTTTACAGGGACTCATTATATATCCTGGGATTGTTGACCCGTATCATAAAGAGGAGATTCAAGTTCTCTGTTCTAGCCCTCGGGGTGTATTTTCTATAAAGCAGGGAGATAGAATTGCACAACTGGTGTTGCTGCCCTCCCTCGGGGATGGAGAAACCTACACTTTACAAAAAAGGGCTATGGGATCTTCTGGAAGTGATTCAGCCTATCTGGCTATACCCCTAAATGAGAGACCTACAATAAAATTGTTAATTAATGGAAAAGAATTTGAAGGGATAATGGATACGGGAGCAGACAAAAGCATTATTTCACTCCATTGGTGGCCGAAGTCTTGGCCCACTGTTGTTTCATCTCATTCTCTACAAGGTCTTGGATACCAGTCCTCTCCTGCCATCAGTGCCTCAGCCTTAACCTGGCGGAACGCTGAGGGCAAACAGGGATGTTTTACCCCCTATGTGTTGCCACTCCCTGTAAATTTATGGGGACGGGATGTGTTACAAGCCATGGGCATGACCCTAACTAATGAATACTCCCCCAGGCATCAGCCATTATGGCAAAGATGGGGTATACAAAGGGTAGAGGCTTGGGTAGGCAAGAACAAGGCAGAATAAAACCCATTACGCAACATGGAAATCGGGGTAGAAAAGGACTGGGTTTTATTTAGGGGCCGTTGAGGCTTCACGACCCATACCGTGGAAAACAGAGGAGCCGTTATGGGTCTCTCAATGGCCTCTATCCTCTGAAAAATTAGAGGCTGTCACAAGATTAGTGCAAGAACAGGAACGGCT